GAACTGTGGGGTTTCTAGAGTATTCTCTTAACTCAGTTGTCCAAAACTGGTGTTGGCGAATTCGATTCAGTTTCAGACTTCATTATTGTGGTAGCATGGTGTTGTGAACTGATAAGGTAAATCAAAACCTGATAAAGGATTAGTCAAATGCCTTCTGAGGATTTGAGGATTGAGGTATAATTCCCTTTCTATTCTGAGAAATATCTTTAAAAGAAAACAGGATGAATGTTTCTTTTTCGAGATGAGTAAACAATAATCTGTACCGAACTTTTGTTTTAAGGTCAAGTGTTCAAGGCTGAAAAGAAGGCTATTTTATGTCACAGTACTACCCAACCGAAGCGATTCATCCTTCTTAGACCTCACCCACCTCAAAGAGCTCAGAATACGAAAAGAAAAAAAACAAGAAAAGTTAGAAGCTATCCAAGAAAAAGTTATCGATTTGTATCAACATTTTTCTAGAGTAATTTAGATATTATGCACTTCAAATTTTGCTTAAGCTTGAATACTCCTCAAAGTTACCATTCAGGAAATGAAGTTCAGAGCGAAGGCATGGCAACATAACTAAAATAACCATTTCCAAAAAAAAAATGAAAAGCCTATGGCAGAAAGTTGCAATGGACGGCATTGAAATAAATCATACCTATAAAAGTTAGAGGAACAATAGAAAAGATTATTATCCGACTTATTGTCACAGAGAAATCGATAACTCTAAGTAGCGATAAGATAGTGGGTGAAGGTGGACCAGTGAACTCCCTTTGGTCGCCTAGAAACCCAATGAATGTCCTCAAGTTAACGTCTTCGCTAAAACTACTTTGAAGCCAAAGAAATCAGGTCAAATGGTTGTAGTAGGCCTGTTTCTGTCCCACGATATCGTTTTTATCCTCATGGAATCTTTAGATGCCTTTCTCAACCACTCTACCTATCGTTATCTATCACTCTCTGTCGTAATCTTTCGTATTGGTAAGGTTCAACAGTGTTTTCGCCTAGCTGGCCCAGGATTAGGTTGTGCCATAAGTGGGAGTTGTGGGATCGTGTCCTGGAAGAGAATATTCCGAGTTCTTTAAGTAAATTTTCCAGACATGTCCTCAATGGGGACCCGTTTGGCGGCTGAAGGCGACTTTAAACGGTTGCACCTTATGGGTAAGGAACGGATGGTTCAACGCGGTAGGGGTTGTCCACAAGCATATGATCGTGGTTCTAATCCGACGATGCTTCACAGCACTAGAAAACCGTTACTCCTCTTCCACGCAATTTTCATTATAAAAGGCCCTTGCGCTGTTTTACTTCAAACGCGACGGTACAGAATAATTTCATATAAAAGCTTGATAACAACGAAAAGAAAAATGAAAAGAAGTACACATCACATAATTTCAAAGAATTCAATAGACAGTGAAGATCATTTGAGTTATCGCTGAGCGAGATGGGTTGCAGTTCCAGTCGACCTCGTTCAGACTTCTGATTGAATGCTTCCACTAGCATGATGAGGTGGTCTGAAATCAGATGATATCAGTCATTCCTCAGTCAGCGTCTGAGTCTATACATGAATGATGCTGCGTCTATACTCAGCGAACCTGTCGCCTTAGTCAGCTGCCATTCATTTTGAAATAATGCTTTTTGCTGTTTTTTATAGTAATATTTCGGTCATGGGTGACATCTCAGCTCTCAACACGATCGCCACCCACCCACCTACATGATCGCCGAGTATAAACGTAGTCAGCTGAGCTGCAAAGTACATACCGGAACATTTCTCCAGGATCCAATCGTGAGATGTCACTGCTCCTCGACGAGCTGACTCCCAGGGCTCCGGATGTGGCGAAGTAGGCGGCATTGTTATAACTAAAGTTATATTACTGTAGAACGCAGTAGGAGATCTTCGTTACATTAAGCCTCGAGTGTGAATAAGCAGTGGACAGTACTTATTAGTGCAACTAAGAATAAGCGTTAGCAAAAGAAAGCTACCACGACACCAAAAAAAGCTCTCACGAAACATCACCAAGTAAAGCTTGGAGCGTTAGAAGCATAATGTAGGGTGCTGCTAAGCGATACTACGATACTGACCGCACTTCTTCATCATAGTAATAGAAATCGATTGAAATTCAGAGCAGAACTGTAGTTCAATAGATGGGTGATCAGTTTCGTTGTACTGTGTGGCTGTAAAAGTCTGGGTTCGAAGTTCGTGGATTTCATGACACAGTAATCGGAACTGTGAATTCTTGCTAGGATGCGATCGGAAGGTTTATGCTTGCCCCACCCCTTTTTTCCTTACCAACCGCTATCTCGTCTTTCGCACTACAACTGATTACGGTAGCACTAAATCCACAATCCGCCAAATCTTTCCTGCATGACTGCTTAGGCTAATTACACATCTCGTGTAGAGCCTGAAGCTAGTATGCGCCATTTTCAAAAGGGCTATCCCACGACAAAAACGTGTCGCCAGCAGAGCATGGATTTCTGCTCGTTTCATAGGGGTAGATATGTATTACCAACCCGATAGCATTACTTGTGCTATCCTTGTAGGTCACAAGTTCACCCCTCGAAAACCATTTTTATCATGAACTACACCTTTTAAAGATGGATCACTAAGAATACGTCTCATACGACTCAATGTGAAAATGCTTTGAAGTAAACAGACACGTTGAGGGTACCCCTAAGCTGGTGCTCGCAGACCTTCGGTCTGACTGTCGAGTGAATGAAGCAGTGTCTTTTGCTCAGCTCTTTTGAAATTCATAGATAGAATCCAAACGTCTTTACAAGTATGTTCTCAAGATTCACGAAGTAGTGCGAAATGGGAGGGACCATTGCGTTAGCCGCAGCAACCAAGGCGAGATGAGCCAGTAAGCCCCTGATGCGATTCGCCGATGTCTGCAATCGGAGCCCTGGATTTGCCGAGGTGACCGCAATGGTCCCTCTTGCCCCATACCCCGTGTCAAACATAACTAAAGCAGTAACATAAAGTTAGTACAACGCAGCCATGCTTTAGAAGACTTCTAGTCTACCTTGAGGTAGAAATAGTTTTACCTAATGCTGTGATCAATGTGTGTAGGTGACGGAATCGGAGGCAGAGGTGTTCCTGCGGCACTAAATCATCATACCGCAATTCTTTTAGTACAGACTAAAGATCAGAACTGTTCGACTATTTCGATACTGTCAAGAAGGTGCCAGCCATTAAAATAATTAAACCAACTTCGAGCTATTGAAATAATCAGGCAAACTTCGGAAAAAAAAAGAAAATAGTCAGTATGAGTAGTCTATAGAGAGACTGTCCCGCTTCCTTATCATTTCGGTTACAATCTAATGCTTTTCGAAGGAAAAAAAAGCTTTTTAAAAGTGTTAGTGAGCAGAAGCACACATAGTAAACTCACCGTGGCGGATTTGTTAACTGTGGCGCCAATTTTTTCTCGACATTTACGGAACTGTAATGATCCTTTTTCAGATACAATCTGCAATGAAAAAAATCACGCTTATTGAACAACGGTTCGGTGGCTCGAACTGAAGGTATGGGCGGAGCTTCCGCCGAGCCAACTGGACGATCACCCAATGATGGACGTAGTGAAGGCTGGTAAAGCGATTGTGATTGGCTGTTTGTCTCGATTCTCATCGGGTCAACCCACTCCCACTCGGAACGCGAACTATGCCAGTTCCTCTTCGCTTCAATCTGGTGGCCCACCCTATCAATCCATTGTTAAAAATACCAAGAGGGCCTTCATAAGTACTGTAGCTGTTTCGACCGTATTCTCCTGGAATTTGACCTTACCTTGTCTTCTTCCGTGTAGGAGTCAACCTTTCGACAAGCATGGCGATCGATTCACTCAGGGGAGTGCGTTTGGCTAGCAATAAAGCACAAACGACGATAGGCAGTAATCGCAGAACGAGCAGAAAAACAAGGACGAATCGTGGAATGAACGACGACTCGATCTGTGGATCGCAGGTGTTCTGAATATTGTTACTGGTTGGTGGAATACTCATTGAAATGGCTGTTAAAAAATTGATCATTCAGTATCGAGTTATATCATTAGTGACCAACTACTTCATTTAATACAAAGAGGACACCTAAAGGTTCGTTTCCCTGGTAAGGCATAAAAATCACTGCTGATCGCATCAATCTAAAGGAATGCAGGATGTAAGTACTGTAGCGGACCCTACAGTCCGATCTAGAGGGAAAATTTAATTTCCTTCTCGAGTTCAAAGCGAAAGAAGTGTTGGACACAACTTGATTACGTTTTTACAGTAGAACTAGATGAAAGATGTGGGAGGGAAGACCTTGAACCTATGAAACGATATTATGCAAATTTGTGCTTGGAATCTACCGAATCCTCCATGTACAAAACGATTCTCAACAACTTCTTGACTCTCATAATTACTTCTGAGCCCCTTTCACTGTTGGAGGAGATCCCCGAGAAAGAAAATCGTCCTACCCGTGGATTGAGTCGGCGTTTATTGGCAGCGTAGAGGTTATGATCGAAGGTGCAGCCTAGTCGTTGTTCCATTTGCATCAGGCCGCCAGGATTATGAGGAATTGCATGATTGAGTAACTGAATCGTGGAGAAAATTCAAAAATGACACAGATGACACGTTTTCCGAGATTAATACCATAAGTAGTCGGAAAGCTGACAAGAACAGAATAAAAATCGTAAACCATGGCTACCACGAAAAATAAAGAAATTTATAAATGAATGGGACCAATTATTAACTTATTCGGAGAAAAAGGACTATAGAGTGCTTGCTTCCCGAATTACTATGGAATATCGAGGTCTTTCCATCACTATATAGGAAAATTTGAAACTAAATTCTGGAAAAAAAAGAAACTTCGAAATTTTCTGCATTATACTAAGAAAAATCAAAGTTAAAAATTATGATAAAAAATAAATTAAAAAATATACATTTAAAGGCGAAGAAACTATTTAATAAAAGCAAAATTTATCCAAATTTAAGGCTTAGTAGAAAAAGTTTCAAAAGGTCATTCAATTATTGCAAAAATATATAGGCAATTCCAAATTTGATAAATTCCGTAAAAAGAAGGTACTCCTGTAGTCCTCCTGGGACACAGTTTCTCAGAAGGTAGCTTACCTGTTCAGTGGAGTTTGGCAGAGCAGCTGAATATGGCATAAGCATGAAAGTGAATAGATGAACTTCACAAATACAGTACAGCACCCCGATGCATAAGATCACCTGAAAAGTCCTTCTTTGAGATCTTGATATACAGAAAATTTACTTTATTCCTCTTTTACTAACGATGATAGTCAACTTTAATTTTTTTCTGTTTATTCTGGATGATCCTAATTCTTCTACTTTAACCCGGTCTCAGAAAAGTCAGAAGTTGTAAAATGCGAAAATGAAATGAACGACTTCATTCCTTCCTACGACGTAACGTGGTCATAAAAAAGTGTGTCTCGACTAATCATGATGTTTTTTGTGGGACATGGGCTTTACTGGGCAAGGTGGTGTAGTGTCAGGGGCACTCTGTTACACACGCACGGTGACGGGTTCGAATCCCGGACCGATATCTGCTTTGCCAATTAAGGCCTCCATCTCTCAGAGGTCGTGAATTGGTACGACACTCTCTCTTTTGTAGTGTCGTACCAGTTCACGACACTCGTTTGGGAGGATAAAACCACTGATTCATACATTGGCTGCCCACCGCAAAGTCTTGGTGTAGGTCGCATTCACACTCATTACGCCACTACGATTCTGAATTGAAGTCGTATGAGAGGCGCTTTTTCCACGCGGAATTTCTAAAACCAGAGACTTTGTCCTTCATGGGTTCCACTACAGATGGGTTTAGAATGTAGGAGCATTAGCATGTTCTGTTTACAAACCCGGATTTTCCTTATTTCAGCGGATTCTCCGATATTCTGTATCTGCTTCGAAGAAATCATAAAAGATATCGTTTTGACCGAAGTTCTACCCTGAACAAGACGATGTAGGAAAGACTTACCCAGAAAATTATGTGAGAAGGCGATTTTGAGACGTTACTGGTAAAATACAGAATTATGGCAAGCACTAGGCAAATATAGCATGCCAGATCTCCTAGCAAATAGCATCCAAGAATTGTTTTATACTGAAATTAAATTGTTGCTGATTTAAAGGCGAAAGTTCAAAATTCTTGATAGTACATATTCTGATGAAAAGCTGCCGATCTACCAAATGAAAATCCTTTTCAAATTTGAACATACAAACAATTAAAAAAAAATAACTGAAATAAATGGTATGAAAGCAAATCGAATAGAAATCAATCAATACATATACATAATTCAAGTGGTAGTCTATAATTTGATTTGGTTTGGTCTCCCAATTGGAACAGGAATTCACTGGATTCGCTCTGGAGAAAGTGAATGGGTTAGTTATGGTTATGGGTTAGGGATGGGTTGAGAGGCTCCGCACTTCAGGTTCATGGACCTGTCTAGCCAATCGAGCTTTCCATTCCTTGTAAGGGTCGATTAACTAGGGCCAGACTTCCTTAGAAGCATAATGGCATTCAATGGGCGCTAGCTGCCCTCAAGTTATTGGGTAAGCCATATGGTAGGTGAACTACTTTTAAATGATAATTGATGATAAGAAAGAATACTTCCAAATACATACCGATCGTCTTATCCTTTCATTCACCGTGAAGTAATCAGAATAATGAAATAAGTCTAAGCTTTGAGAAATGGCCAATGAATCAATGATCTCCAGCCAATCCTCAGATCTCGCTGATGGGTGCGCCATGCACGCGGCTATTATTAGAATAGGAGAGATCTCTAGAGGGTATCTGGTCCATACAACACTTCAGCTAACATCTGGTTTCGGATCTTCTCCCGCGATGAGTTTTAGTGTCAATCCCTTAGCAGTTCTAGTCAGCACGGATTACTGTATATGCCTAACTGATTGCACATGATAGTAAAAAGACTGACGTCGTTCGATATAATTGTTACTTTTGTAGCAATCATTCACGAGTATGGGTATAATCAAGTGACATTGGGCATTGTAGGCAAAGGTGGTAGTTCGGCTGACAATAGACGGACACTAGTTATTCTTTACTGATTGGTTTGTTTACTTGTTTATTTACTCTTTATTTCATATGGACACGCTTACAGCTTCGCCTACGAAGGTGATTTCTTCTGTAGGAAAAGGAAAGAATGTTTACAAGTTTTACTATCAATGAGCCTCGGCATTTTCACTCCATGAAAAAAAAATGAATGCAACCACTAATAAAATGAGCGGATAGATAGGAGACTGATTATTAGCTAATCACTGGCTTATTTATTTATTTACTTATTCATCCACTCATTTATCTGAATACACTTGAGGTTGCGCTAGCGTAACCCTTTCAAAAGAGTGACAGATGCTTCCATTCAAGGTCAAAATCAATAAAATACAAATGTAATAGAACCGTACAGGCTGTACGACCGTTATATGAAGGTTTCTGCTTTTGAGAAGCTATTAAGCAAGTTCCACGATGGTCTCCTGAATTTCGGACCGGGGGTGTCACATCAGTATCACTAACGAGATTCCCTTTGAACGCCAGGTCCGATGAGGAGATGTTCGGCCCCCGATTCGTTTGGCATAAAGCATAGTTCACTTACCATTTCTTGTAATTATTTAGTGGTTGTTTATTTATTAGTGTTGCCAATATTTATCTATAATTTATTGATTTTTCACAATAAAAATCACATTCGCTCTCATTGTATGGCTTTTTATACCAACGAGCCCAGAGATCCAATTATTCGAACAGATGTTACCGTAACGTAAGTTGACCGTAGTTCTTCAGTCCGATAGACGTTTTCAGGCCCATATGGCCTTGTTCTCTACGCGTTTATTTCCGAAGCCGAAATTGAATGGATTTTAGTTTAAATTCGTACATTCGTAGTCTGTCCTTATCGTCATCACCGCCGTCTTCGAAGGACATACGTATTAATCGGGTCTGACTCATGGCATAATCGGAACGCCTCATCCACCATCGTATAATTTCGGCGTCGATAGATATGGGCATCTCCCATAATAGCCACCTTGCCCCTTCAAAAGGATCATATAATCTCCGATAATATCAAAAAATTTGGGCCATACGTATAGCGCTATCCGTAGGAATCATTGAACCCATGAAAGAACAAGTAGTTGTCCTCCTTGGGACACGAAGGGGGACCACATTAATCCAGTTGAAAGGAGAAAAAAGTATCCATCAGTAGGAATCGATCAGTTCTTCGAGGTTGCGCCATGAATCTCCTTTTCTAATAAAGCTCCGAAAACATTTGAATGCTTCGTTCTGGATGCTTTACCACGACAGTCAAGATTCAGACATATTCCGCTTGAGCTTGATGTAGGTCTATGCATCCATTCGAGAAAGTATCCCTAGGCGACATAGGTGGGGTCCGTTCCTAAGGAAAGGCGGGGCTGTAGCCGTTATACTGGAACTTGAATGAACCTAATTACATACCTACATCACTTGGATCCGGTACGGCGAATAATCTTATAATCTCATCAAACCCCCGTTCCTAGCCTTAACATAACTACGGAGAGAGAACCAGAACGGCTTTCTTTACCATGCCGTGCCATCCTCTATCCATAATTACAGGTTAGACAACGATGGCATAGTTCAAGGTAGCCTGTTCTTTCCTTTACCCCTCCGACCTCCATTCGTCGCCATACGATCAAATCAGGATATAGTCGAGCTTTTTGATAAGAATTGTCACTTCTTTCCCTCATGTGGGGAGAAGTACTGGGTAAGAAAGGCCTGGAGAGTGAAACGAACAGCATAGCGTGCCCTTTAATCAGCACCACCTCTTTCCCATAGCAAAATTGGCATAGAGGAAATAACAGAAGTGAAATAAAATCCCACAGAGTTCTCTGAATTGATATTTTATAAGATTTTCATAGCTGTTTTGCTTGAAAATACCCATGCAAGCACTGATAACCTTCCTGCACTGGACCCCTGGCAGTATAAAGTGAATTGAATAGCTAGAACAAACGTAGAGGAAGGATACCCGCTCAGTGTTTAAGTAAGTTGATTTGNGTTCAGCACTGTTCTGCGCCACATTGTCCAATTATTTGGAAGTTCTGATGCTTTGAGACCGTTCTTCGAAGTGATTTTACCTGAGTCTGAGCAGATTTATCCCTCGACCAACCAACTGCCGCCATAAACCAGGATCTATACAGTCTATTCGGCGCAAAGTGTCATTCGCAGCCCATTGATGTGATCCGATCCGGCGGAAATTAGGGTCGATGAAAACCAAGATTGTAAAGACATGACTGGGCAGACCCGACCACTGAGTTTGGGAATTGACAGAGGTAAAGCGATAAACTTCCCGACAATGATGATTGCACTTGGTATACGCCGCGCCTTTGATTTCTATACGGTACCGTAAGGTCTGTTGAACACATACTTTTCTTAGAAAGGCTTCTTGTCATTGTACAGGTCGATCTCATGAATGGCTTTGCACCAATAAGTTCTTCCAAGAGGGAAAAGTCGAATTTATTAAAGAAATGGTCGGATCCCTGAAGTGGGTAGTCGATAGCTCCTACACCCTGCGCCACCTTCGCCCTGTGCGCCCTCTACCCTGCAAGTCGGCTGAGGAATGAATCGATCAAAGATAATTACTATGCCATTGTTACTTTTATCTATAGAAAGCCAGAAAAGAGAAATTCGCCGACGTAAAGGACGTATCGATCGTTTCCCTCATGGGTTATTGTGCTATTAGTAACGTAGACATACTATGAGACTAAAAAAACTCTAGCTTTTGACTCTGATGAGAAAAAAACAGAAGTGAGTAAAAAAAAATACTAATAAAAATTATTTTTGAGAAAGAAAAGTAACAATTTTAATGTCTCAATGTCAAAAATCGATAGAGATAAACAAGCTAACTGTCGATCAGCCAGCCTGTCTGTCATCGCCTATGCAATCACAAGAGGCTGTGAGAGACATGACGGACTGTAGGACTCACCGTTCGTTCCTCGCTGAGTACATTGACCTCTTTGTCACTCAACTGATATAATCCCAGTAGATGATTGTAATTGATTTTCGATATACTTATCGTTTTATCGAGGTAATCGATGAGCTCCTCATAAACGCCTCGATCTCGCCAATAATAAATGGCAAGGGTTATCACCGAAATCTGAAAGGAGGTGTTTGTGGCCCTCAGACTGCTTTCTTTCTGGACATGAACACAAGTAATGAAAACAAAGAGCAAGCGGTCTTGGTAGGTCGTTATGGGAATAAGCCATGCACAAGGTTCTCAGTCAAAGTTGTGAAGGTGATTGAACGAGTCTTTGTCTTCTTCAAATACGTGCAAGAGCCTTTCATGATTAAGGCAATTTTTACAAATTCAAGCAAGCAATGAAAGCGATCAGGAGTGGCGTTTCGGGCAATGAGCGGTCCCATTTCAGGATGCGCCCAGCACTCGGCTTCTGTTCAGAATCGTGCTAATAGACGCATGGATCCACCCAATCACATTTGAGGGCCAACAAATAGAGAGATCAGCGCTTTCACTCTGTGTATAGCCAGATCCCAGTAGAGCTCATAAAAGACTTGATTTCTGTCAGTGTAGACAATACAGAAGTGCGCCTCCCTCCGCGTTCCTATTCCCACCCTTTCGTCGAATTTTCATTTGCTGAGCCTAACCGGGGAATGATTGTTCACACGAAAGACCGCAATCAGCAAAATAAGGCCCCGCTCTTTTGACTATTTCAGCCAGCACCATTGCTGCCGGCCACATCGTGCATATTCCCCCCCTTCCGACAGTTATGCTTGATCCAGCCAATGGCCAGTTCAATGCTTCTGGACCGAGTTTTTGCCACTCTCGCGCTGCCAATTTCGGTAATGACTCTTCTTCGTTTCTTTCAGCTTTTCAAAAACTTCCTTCAGAGAAGAGCTGCTTGTCACGTTTCGTGCACAGCAATAAGCCCCACTTACGGTTTGAACCCAATCAACAGCAACAAGAAGTATTGGAAAACGATTTCTCTTGGATACGTCATGACTTTGCCTTCCACTTAGAAGCAGAGGAAGAATTGGAAGTTATATATAAACAGACAATCGACCAAATCGATAGATCCTTTAATAACTTACAAATAATGAAAGACATAAAGCGATAGACAGTACAACGCCGATTGATTCTCGCCACGTTTGAGCCTGAAATGGTCAAAGATTCGGGCATGGGCTGTTGAAAATATAGTGAACTGAATTATTATGACCACAAATACACTTACTCCTTTGAATGTGACCTTCGGACTACTTGAGCCTCGAGGTGGCAGTGGCGGAGCACTGCTGAACATCTGTAATCAATTTCTGTAGAAATAAACACTTGACAGTGATCCAAAAAACCAGGAAAAAGACAAAAAAACGAAAACACGAAAAAAATATCAGTTAGGCCACAAGGGTCGAAATCACACGCAAATTTCAATTTGCAGAGAGTGAAAGTTGTGGAAGAGATAAGTATGTGTGCCTAGGAATTGATGAAAATGACTCAAAGTCATTTGGATCAATTCGACCGATCCGCTAAAAAGAACAATATATGATTTACACAGTCCTATGCCCCGTCGCTGACCTCTGCAAACTGTGGATCGTAGGGTCGAATGACTCAACTTCTACTACTCGTTTCTCACTTACTGAAATCTAGTCTCTACAATGGTGGAGGTGGACTAGTGGTCAAAGGCACGGCTTCTACAAGTGCAGTACGGGACTAGTCCTGGACCATTACTCGACCAGGTTAACTAAGCTTTTCGTCTCTTCGATCGGCTTGTAGATACGACCCGTTCGACAGCATAAAAGCTTGCTACACTTTCAAACGTCACTCCAATTCTGGGAAAAAGTCAAGGCATGATCTCATCCAGTCGCTAATCTCTCAGCATTTTTTTCCCAAGTCTTCACCACTCTACAATAAAAAATAATGCGTCAAGATGAATCCCAATAAGTATCGTACTCGATAAGTTCTTTCAGAAAAGGCTTTTCTAACATGCGGCAACAAACGTTTATAAGTCGGATTAATCATAACCGTAAAGCAAGTTGTGTTAGGTGCAGATATTATGCACAATACTCATTTGTCAAGCTAATAGAAAGCCGGCAGACGTCAGAGCAGACGACCAGAACAGGCTGGAACAGCTGGCACCCTGGAGATGACCTGCTAACACTATATGAAGGATGCGAAAAGGGCACTGAAAAGAACTGTTAAGGCCCACAGAATTCAGGTAGCAGCTGGCAATAGGCAAAGTAAGCTCGTTTCTTTGCCCATTGCCAGCGGCTTCATGAACTCTGTGGGCCTTAACAAGGACTTCCTTCTTCCTGGCCAAATCCGGGTATGGGAGTCAATGATTGAATGAGCCAGGCTTTACTTATTTGAGAACGACAATTAGCTTGAGTAACCCTCTGTGTCGATTCATACTGAACTCGGGAGACTCAAGGGTAATTCTGCCGTGGGAGGCTCTGTGGGAAGCTCTTTCATAAACTAGCCTTGACAGGAAGGCAGGTGAACCATCCCACGAAGAAGAAAAGCGAACAGAAAAAATGAGATAAGAAAGGTATGTATTCATAAGCTGGAAAGGTGGAGAGAAGCCAGTTTCCGATGTTCTGCACAGGCAATGATAACAAGTATGTATGTGATCGGTGTCGAGTAAAAACCGTCTCAGTTTGGTTATCCCTGGCTGGTAATGGTGGGTAAGAGAAGGATGGCGCTGTTTAACGATAGAATTTGAAGGAAATGACCGCTCGACAAGTACAGGAGGAGGTGTCGTAACGGTAAAAGGGCACTTAACACACACAAAGCCCGTGCATCGATTTCCCCACCTTGCAATTAGGCCTTCCTTGCCTCCTGGGTGGTCCGTCGCTACCGAGCTAACCCGGGGGACCACAGGTATCCGTGTGTG